GTATAGCTGACGTTTACATTGAATTTCACGTTGCTTTGCTTTCCCAAAATTTGTTCTCATTCAGGGTGGACTGCAGTTTCGACCTCGCATAGTTCGCACCTCAAACGGGAGTCGAACCATGACAAGTCAGTGTGTAAGCTTGACACATTAACTAATCCGCCACATTGCCATGAGTGTCCTTGGATCACATGATAGATGTGAATTTCAAGGAAGGCCAGGTCTTTTTTATATCACATTCTTTGACGGGATTGTTGATGAAGCAACGTATTTTTGCTATAACGATTGACTAGATTACTTATTGTTCGTACATAAGCAGAGTTTCGAGTCTACCAGTAGATCATTTATATGAGATGTATTCATCCTATTTCATTCATGATGATGAAGGACTGGTAGCTGAATTCACATCTTTGAAATTCACATCCGCTCTGTGACCCAAGAGCACTCGTGCCAATTTGGCTGATTGGTTAATGTGTCAAGCTCACATGTTGCACTGTCACGGTTCGACTCCCGCTGAGGGTGTTGATAAGACCGATGCGAGGTCGAAACTACAGTCGATCCTGGATGAGGACAACTTTTGGGAAAGCAAGGCTATGTGAAACCCAATGGAAACGTCAGCTCTACACATATCATTGTGGGGAAATTCTACTACCAGTCCTTCATCACATTAAACGAATTAGGGTGAATACGTCGAATATGCAACATGACTGTGATTGCATAATCTTGTGTGCCTCATTTGCTTGATGAACGTGCGTACAGATGTTGGCGCACACACGCACACATACACTCTAGTATAAGTAAACTAACAAAATCACTATGTATTAATCTTTAGTTAAATATCTTTTTATTATGAGTATATATGGCATTCATCAGAACTCAATTACTCCTTGGTCTTTTTGACTTAGCTTGTGTTTACAAGTAGGTTTTTGAGGCTAACAATGGATCCGATATGACAGTTGTACTGACTCTATGCTGTTTAAGATCATGCAGGATTGGTATTTGAATTTTCCCACAATCATGTGAGTAGGCCTCATGTTTCCAGTGAATTTCACTTGACATCGCCTGCATCTCAACAGTATCACCAGTTGGACTTGAACCTTGTTTGTGATGATACAGTTTAAGGTCGAGACTCGCTAACCGTTACGCTTCTTTGTCAACCCCGCGATGAGAATACCTTTTGAGAAGCAAAGCCATGTACAATTTAATGGAAGCGCGAAGACTACTCATTTCATTGTTGGAATATCAAACTATCCTTCATAACCACAAACCAATGATTCATTCAGACTTACATTATTGAATTCCAGCCTTGATGATGTTCATCATGTGACGAGTGAAAGCTCATCTCGATTCACCTCGAATTGAGGGATAAAGTCTCGTGATCTGTTTCAATCTGAACGTCGTATTAAATACAAACTTAAATCAGTCGTCGTCTTCCGGTGAGATAATCTTAGTATCTCTTCATCATGTACTATCCTGAGAAGTGAAAATGTCCACAAAATTTGTTGCTACCCTTTTAAGCTAGCATCATTGCCTCCAGCCTAAGTTAGGCTGGTTGAGGAGACTGCCATTTTGAGGTAAATTGGTTGATTTCACCGCAAGATGAAGGATGATTCTCGTTGTTCTGGATACTTTCTCGTTTCGGGTGAAATCGGAGTGAGATTTCGTCCACCCTAGGATGGACATCCTCAAGGTTGGAGCTTATTCTTGTAAAAGTCTGATTTACATTCAGCCTATTTTCACCCGAAACTCTGGCAAATGTCTCGTGGACTGCGTCAACCTGAAGATCGTATTAAAGCCAAACGACTGCCGTAAAACGGGATTCAGCCGTCGTCTTCTGGTTAGATCGACCTTCGAATATCTGCGTCATGCAATTTCATACGAACTCAAAGTCTTCCCAACAATATCTTTCCAAGAGGTTAATCAGAAACATGCTTTTTCTCGTATCTACACTATACGTATGGCTCAATTTCTTGTCAATTGTTTTCTCGCTCCACTAATCGTGAAAATTTCCGCCAGCGAGTTGGGTCAATTCGATTTGTAAAAATATAATGCTGTTCTTATAGGCTTAATTGGTACTAAAATCGCTTTTCAGACGGAGAGTATTTATGCAAAGATAGACGAGCGGAGACCTAATTTTGCCATCATGTCCTCGTTCTACCAAGCTAGGCGAACTAGCGAGAAAGTAGGCAATAAAAATAGTATTCAAAGAAGGCCCTACACTTTCCTCGGTAATGTCATCTTTTAAAGAGAAATAGTATCAATTATCGAGAACCGGGTGCTTCAAGATTGTGGCCTCCTGTGGTCCACCTTATACTGGTTATACGTTCAGGCCTATTCGACAAAGAATAGGGAAACAAAAAAATATTTGTAAATGGAGCCTTGTCCAACAGTCAGAAGTGACCGAACATACAGATCAGACACTGGACATGAGAAAGAATGGTCTCAAACGAATCGGTTTGCTGATTATGGTACGTCTGCTGTTAAAAGAAAGATAAGAGAGGCCATTGAAATGAATAGAATAGGTAATACGTTGAAGATAAGGAACGGTGGAGAAAGTTGAGTAGTAACTACCTATGCTTGATTGATAGACTGAAGGGGAGAGATAGTGTTGAACCGCCAATCAAAATAAGGTGACTCAATCTCTCCGCTCACTGACGGTTCTAACCTCATTCACACTCGTCCGCCATGTCGGTCGAGCTCATTAAACACACCAGAAGTACACGATTACGCTATCCCAGTCATTCCATTTCTTGGGTTGTTTAACCCCAATGACCCTAGCTTAAGAGGTTAGGACAGGTGGTTTCGTAAGTTGACTTGCCCGCTTACAAGCTTACAACCAATTATCCCAACCAGAGTTTGTTCATGGCTCATTAAGACTTGATGAGCTGAACCGGATGTTCGGCTGTTTTAATCACTACAGCTAATAGACGACCATACACACACACACACACACACAAGTAAAAGTTCCGTGACCAATATGAAATACGAATAGATAAATCATTCCATATCTATCTATCCATTCATCTATGTTTATATATTTTGGTTTTTAGTTTTTAATATATAAAAGATTTAAAATTGAGTATGACAGTTTTCGTAACCCAAGCTAACCCGAGACTTATACAAGAATGGGTTCTAGCTTTGATGGTGTGGACAACCGATCAGCTCAGCTAAACCAGAAACGAAGTAGAATGACTCTTGGACTGCGTCCATATGAACGTTGTATCATATCCAAACGGCTGCAGAACAGTGGAAATCGTCCGTCTTCTTGCTCTGCGATCAACCAACAAATCTATTCATCGAAAACTTTACTAAGAGACGAAAGACAATGTTTTCTTGAGAGATGCATCAAAACCCAGTTACTCTTCTTACCTACAGCCAAATCTGGTGCCAAGAGGCAATTGCAAGGAGTAGCTAGAATTCTTGACTTTCTGAGATAATTTCAATTCGGCGGTGAATTGAAAGTTTAATATCAACATGCCCAACTGGATTCACGACCAAGGCATTGGTGACCAGAAGTATTGTAGGCATTCAAAACACAGCGAAACTTATTGAAGGATCAGGCTTCTTTTCGAACATTTTTAAGATGTTCAATTCGTCCCATGCACTCTTCTTGGACATTCCAAATCGGTTAAAGCTTTGCTATGATTATGCAACTTATACCTATTTCATTAAGTTTACTTATATTTTGAGTGAGATTGTTTGGTGAAGGGATTCGAAGTTAGATCCCACCACCAGCTATCGATTGAATTTACTGGAACTTCCTTGTTGAAGTTGCTTCCGAGGCAATCTCTTTCGAATCTGGTGAAAACGTACAAAGCTTTCGTC